ATCCAAGGCTTTTGATTGTTTATTGATTTATCCAAGGCATTTTATTGTTTATTGATTTATCCAAGGCTTTTGATTGTTTATTGATTCATCCAAGGCTTTTGATTGTTTATTGATTTATCCAAGGCATTTGATTGTTTATTGATTTATCCAAGGCATTTTATTGTTTATTGATTTATCCAAGGCTTTTGATACAGTGGATCACACTATTCTGGTAAAAATTCTTCTCAAACTGGGCATCTCCAAAGAAGCATCTTACTGGTTTGGAGATTATTTGGCAATTAGGACACAGTGTGTACAGATGGCTGGAGCAAGGTCAAGTTTTCTTAAAGTAAAAAGGGCATACCCCAGGGCTTTGTCTTGGGGCCCATCTTATTTACAATTTACAAGACTGCACTGTGTGATAATTTGCAATATGCCTTCTACCACTTTTATGCTGATGACTGTGTAATTTACTGTTGTTCAAATTCAATTGATCAAGCACTTAAATTCTTACAGGCTGCTTTTGATGAGGTGCAGATTCATCTTGAGCAACTAAAATTGGTCTTAATTGCTGATAAATCTAAAAATGTTTTTTTTTTTTTTTTTTTCAAATTTATCTGTCCCATTGGAGAATATCCCTCTAATAAAAACTGCCCAAGGTAAACTTCTCGAGAGGGTCTCCTGTTATAAATACCTGGGCTTAACTATCGACAAGGAGCTTTCTTTTAAATCTCATGTGAAACACCTAATCTCAAAATTAAGGATGAAGCTCAGGTTCTTTTTTAGAAGCAAATCATGTTTCTCCCTTAGAGCAAGGAAGCTTTTGATTAGGGATGCACCGATCCACTTTTTTTTTTTAACTTCCGATCCCGATACCTGAGTCTGAATATCGGCCGATACCGATCCAGTTCCGATACTATGATCATCATAGATTTTATACGAGGCTGTAATAATCTCCTCTCAAGTACAATTTGTACAAATATATGCATGTATGTCCAAAAAGGCAACTTGAGGTAAGTTGTATTAATATTGGATAAGTTTTAAAGTTAGAATTAAATTCTGCTAACACAAAACATGTTTTTTTTTTATTCCTAGTTTTAAAGTGGATATTAAAGTGATTAATTTAAGTGATTGTTTAAAGTTATTTTATTTTTTATAAGGGGCAGATATAAGAATTTTCTTCTTTCTGCACTCTTTTCATTCAATGATTTCTTTTTGATGTTTTTTTATTGTTTCTTTTAAATGAATGAATAAATGAATTAAATAAAATGTTAAATGGCTTCAAACACCTGCTAAGTTCATGGCATAAACCAACAGACATGTTCCTGTTTTTAGTATTTTACATCACTTTATAATGTAGCTGTTTATGTTTTTAATATAAATAATTTTCAAATCATGTTTTTTATGATTGTCTACTGTTGTACTGATAAATATCTCCTGGAGGGTAAACTATATCTTGGCTGCAAGTATCAAACTGAGAAATCCTTTGTTTTCTACAACTGATAGTGGTTGGTCATTAATTATGAAGTTTAGCATCTTCTCTGTAAACATTTGAGCTCCGTGGCTTCAGCGATGTCTTCTTCTTGTTCAGTTCGAAGCAGGCAGCCTGATTTGGATCAGCCGCGCTCAGTCTGTCCCTCCTCAGAGACGGGCAGACTGAGCGGGGCAGATTGGACGTGGCTGGCCGGGGTCGAGTCGCCTGTTGTGGGTTGAACAAAGAGCAGCGCCCGCTGAAGCCACGGAGCTCGAATGTCCATCGTAAAACTAACTTTACCGTGGTTTAATGTGGCGCTATGGCTCTGCAGACAGTGCACGTTGCTGTCTTGTTTTGTGGTGTTTAGTGTAAAATACTTCCACACAGCGGACATGTTTAGATGAAAAGTTTGTTAGCTGTTAGCCACAGTGCTGCTAACTCAGTCCTCATGTTGTAGCTGCTGCAAACTATGAACTGGATTTCCTGAATGTGAGGCGGGTCTTATTACTCTGGGCTCATGAGACACGCCGCCGTTCAGGAAATCCATTCCATAGTTTGAAGCCAACATTCATCATGGATCGGAAATATTGGCAGGTGGATCGGAAAATCTGATACGTAAATTATGCTGGTATCGGAGGCCGATACTGATACTGGATCGGATCGACCCCATCCCTACTTTTGATCGCGGCTACTTTTTTGCCAGTACTTGACTATAGCGATGTTGTTTATATGTGTGCTTCAAACAGCTGTCTATGGTCATTGAATCCAGTGTACCACTGTGCATTAAGATTTATTACTGGTTGTAGCTACCTTACTCATCACTGTGATCTCTATCTTAAAACCAATATGTCTTCCCTGTTTAGGTTGTTTAAAAAAACAGAAAAAAATAGCATCAACTTGGACAAGAAATGGAAACATTTGGATCAAACTAGAGGAAGGATCTCAGGCTAAAATAATAAAAGAC